ACTTCAGCAGGTTTCACTTTAAAATCAGTGCTGTCTCTTTAAAACAATCGATCTTTGGGCTAAAAGTATGAATATTTCTGTCAAACTAATTTCTCACAACCCACATTATCAAACACTCATAATCTAAAAGAACCATCAAGAACATCACAGAACCATCACAGAAGAACCATCAAGAACATCACAGAACCATCATAGAACATCACAAAACTATCATAGAACATCACAGAACCATCAACCAGCACCTGTATAGCAACAGTAAAACGCACTAGTTGCTAAGTGAGCGTTGCTATGCAGCCGCTAGAGATTTGCGTGGTTATTTCAAATGCTAAATCCTTCAGAAGACTGAAAAAACACATGATTTGATGATGCGGTCACATGCGAGATCGCGGTGAGTTCTCAATGCAGAGAATGAGGGAATAACGCAGCAATCGCTGATGAAGTCATCAACACACACACGCTCGCCCTGTCAGCCACACCACAGCTTTTTGATCATAAGTGACAGCTGTTTCCTCTCGTACTATCCACACACATGCGGGTGCTGCGGCGTCGCCATGGAAACCGCTGGAGGAAAAAATTGCGACGTACTGAGCGCTGTCTGGGGCTGGATATTTTTAGGCGATGGAGAGAAAAGAGGAAGAAACCTGAGAGAGAAAGTGAGAACTGATGGAGGACTAGAGAGGAAGTCTTTGCTGGTGAAGTTTAGGCTAGTTAGTGTGATGAAGACTAGTCTCGTACATACACACTTAACACTAATAACTGAATTTGGTTGGCGAAAGATGCCACCTTGTTGTTTTCCCCCAACTGGTTGGATGTTGTGATGCCAAGCTTTGTGTCAGAGTCAAATGATGTTGATGTGACTGAGAATATACACTACTGTTCAAAAGTTTGGGGTTAGTATATTTTTATTCTTTCTTTTTTTGAAAGAAATTAAAACTGTGACACTTTAGACTGGAGTAATGGCTGATGGAAATTCAGCTTTTGCATCACTGAAATAAATTATATTTTAAAGGATATTAAAATAGAAACCATTATTTTATATTGTAATAACATTTTGCAAGATTACTGTTTTTTTCTGTATTTTTGATCAAATAAATGGAGCCTTGATGAGCATAAGAGACTTCTTTAAAAACATTACAATTCTTACTGATCCCAAACTTTTGACTGGTAGTGTATCTGACATCGTAGCAACTGCATAGCAACACAGTAAAAACAATTCAGAACACCCTAGTAACTGTACAGCAGCAAGTGTTTTTACAGACCAGCAGCACGGTTGTTTTTTCAGAAAATTTGAAAATCTGCGTGCTAATGTGTGTTTGTGTCCGCAGAGAAGCCAAGAGCTCCGTGTGTGTTCAGACAAACACCACAGCCGGTTACCTGCAGGCCGTGGACTCGGCCGGGACCCCCCTGTGTCTGTCCTGCCGGAAGCCCAGCGGGGAGCACCACGGCTGGGCAGGAGGCTTCTGCAGCCCTGCCTGTACGGAGGACTTCCAGCTGCGCTCCAATCAGGGCTACATGCGCACCCACGTGCTGGAGAAAGAGCAGGGTGTGTGTCAGCACTGTGGACTCAACGCCCACCAGCTGTACGTGCAGGTCCGGGACGCCCCGCGCATACACCGCAACGAGATGCTGGACAACACCTGGCTGGCACAACTCCCTCTCAAACAGGTTGGGCTCATTTGTAGGACCCTCATCTGCATATTTGGCCATTTTTGCATCCATCCATCCATCTATCTATCTATATGCTGAAATATTGCATGCTAAAGTTGCTCAGATGCTTAGTGAACTCACCCAACGCACATATTCTGGTATTTTTTATAACTGAAATGCAATGTGCAATACAGTTTCAGCATTTTTACCTTAATTAAAGCAGTCACTGTGCTCTCCCAGCTATTAGATGTCAAGACTAGGATAAATATAACAAAAAATAAAGATACTGCACTCAAAATGTTTTTATTGTCCCCTAGTGTGGATTGTATGATAAAAAAAAAAAAAAAAAAACTCGAGTGCAGACCGCCATTGTTATGTATTACTTTTAGTATTTTTAAGTTGCCTTCTTTAAAATGTAATGCTTGCATAAATATGCCACAAAAATATTATTATTATTATTAATATTTGTGGCTAATGTTATTTGTTGATGTTAAAAATAATAGCTGCTATTATTAGTATTATCATCATCAACAACAAGAAATAATCAGTAGTAATAATAATAATAATAATAATAATAATAATAATAAATGCTACAAATAATATTAATAGTTTTTAAAACTACATAAGATGCCTCAAAAGTAATAATAATATTATGATTATCATTATTTTTAATAACAACAATAAAAGTAAGTTTAAAATTCTTAGAAATGTAATGCTTGCCTAAATATACCTCAAAATATTAATAATAATAATAGTTGTTATTAAACAATGTTCATGGCATATTTTAACTATTATTTTATTGTTTTTAATATAATAATGGTTATTTTATTATTTGTTGATGTTAATGAATGAATAAATAAATAAATAAATAAATAAATAGATATTGTTGTTGTTAACGAGAAATAATAATAAATATGCCACAAATATTATCATTACTATTTAAAAAAAAAAAAAACATAATATGCCACAAAATATTATTATCATCAATAAAAAATTTTTGTTATGATAAAATATTTAGGGCAAATGTTTATTACTTAAACAATTATTTAATAATAATAATAACAATTATAGATATTATCATTAGCATCATCATCTACTCTTCATATAGAAATAATTTTCTTTTTCAGATTTTTCTTTCTTTAGAATTTTCTTTAAAGGGGTCATATGATGCGATTTCAAGTTTTCCTTTCTCTTTGGAGTGTTACAAGCTGATTGTGCATAGATAAGATCCCTGAAGTTGCAAAGACTAAAGTCTCAAAACCAAAGAGATATTCTTTATCAAAGTTAAGACTCTGCCACGCCCCCCTAAAACGGCTCGTTCTAACACGCCCCCACATATCTACCTCACTATGTGGAAATATTTGCATAATGCTGCCCAAATGTGCACGCAAAGAAAGAAGGCGTGGTTTCAGTAACCGCAGTTAGTGTTGAAGCAGCCATGTCAGGGAGACGCTGTGTGTTTCTAGGCGAAAGCAAAAGCACTTTATTTGGCCTTCCGAAAGTAGATGCATTTAGGAATCTTTAAGATTACTTACAACAGAACAGCAATGCATTTTATGGACGACCGTTTCGTGAACCTAGGAGTGGAGGTAATTCCGACTTTGCTATGACAATCTGGTGCTTCTGAATCAGCGATTGTAAGTATGTTTTGTTACTAGTTTAAGTATTTGCTATTGACTGTTCAAATGCGGAGTTTTGCGCATCGTGTGTGTGTGTGTGTGTGTGTGTGTGTGAGGGGAACAGGGTCACATCACAGCAGTGAGCAGCCTGTCAGAAATCATAGCACGTCAGCTGTCTTGTGTACTGCATCATCACTGTGTCTGTTACGCGACTCTGTTCCCCTTTCGGGCTCTGTCTTTACATTTATTTTGAAAGATGAAGCTCGCGGTTATGGTAAGGGGTGTTACATTTCCGATGAGTGCTTGCGGTGTTTGGCCAATCACAATGCACTGGGTCAGCTGGCCAATCAGAGCAGACTGCGCTTGTCAAAGGAGGGGACTTTGTAGAAAACGAAGCGTTTGAGAGAGGCGGGGCATAGAGGACCTACAATAATGTACAGTATTTGAAAAATAATGTGTTTTTTGAACATTAAAGCATGTCAACATATTCGGTTACACCTAATACACAAAATAATGATCTTTAAAATAGCATCATATGACCCCTTTAAAAAGTCATCTCTGATCTTTATCCGTGTCTACAAAACCAGTCGATTACCCCTCCTCATACCTCCTGCTCAAAAACGTCCTCTGGTAGGATCTGTGTGAGGTGCATGTAGCACCAGGACTAATTTTGTCTGGGAAGTTGCCCAGAGTTTGGGAAAAAGCATGTTTTAGTCGCTTCCAAAAGCACATTAGCCGGAATTATCCCCAAACATTCGCAAGTAATTCGGCAGACGCTGCATTTTATTGAAAAATATTGCTTACAGAGAAAGATAAATAAAGATAGCCTGTTTAGCTTGCAGAAGCAATAAGAGCTTAGCAGCCTTGGGCGTCTGCTCTCTGACTCTCTCTATAGAGTTATCAGTGCTGTTCACACTCGCACTGTGTCTTACACACACACACACACACACACACACTCACACAGCCGCCATCCTTTCCTCCCTGGAGCATCCAGTGTTAACACAACGCCTAGTCTGTCAGATTGCCATTGATTTTTCCCACAGTGCATTGCTATGAGGTGCAGGTTTGATTTTTGTTCGGCTTTTCTCGGCAGCGGCCTGATCAATAACGCACTTTAAGCTCCAAGTGCCCTCGACGCACAAACAAGCCCGCTGTCGTAACGCATACGGAGAAAGCTTCATGCATGTGGTTTGGCGCGTACGGGTTGACTTATCGACACTCGAGGTCTAGTAAGGAAGCTTTCCGCTATCGTAGTGGGAGGTTATCGTCCGTGTCGCGACCCTTGAGATTTAGGATAATTATCGGCCGGCTCTGTTGAGGGGGAAGGAGAGGATTGATTGGGTTTTCTCCAGAGACCGTGAGGCTAAAAACAGCCGCGTGCTGAAATGCCAGCGCTTTGGCTTGGGCCTCCTCACGTTCCCAGCGCTGATCTTCCACTCGTGATTTCCATGCATTTCCACTCCAGCTTTAATGCTGCCGAACACCTGGAGTCCTTTACCGCAGCGGCCTGTTGAAAAGCCTTTGGAATGGGGGAATTACGCTTCCTAGAGTTTCCCAATGGGCTATTCAGAGCACTTTCATGTGACGGTTCAATAAAACAACAGGAATAAGACTCTCTCTGGGTGGTGGAGACTTTCAAGTGCTGGATTCTTTAAAAGACAGACATATAATTGTTTTTTTTTTTAATCAGTATTCACATTTTTTTTTACCTGATCGGTTATTGATTCTTTAGTATAGTGTTCAACAGGAAACAACAGTGTCAATTTAAGTGTAACAGTTAGATATAGCCCCAAATCACAAAAACTATTTTTATCAAAAATATTGTTTTTGTTATTAATAGCAAACAGTTTTTTAGTGAATTATTTAAGTTGTGGTGGTTCTTACTAATAATTCTTTTTTTTTTGTCTTATGAAAATATTTAAAGGGGTCATATGATGCGATTTCATTTTTTCACCTCGCTTTTCAGACCGATTAGTTTTGTAAAAATCGACGCGTTTCAAAAAGGCAGGGCATAGAGGAGAAACAATAATGTACAGTATGTGGAAAATAATGTGTTTTTTTTACTTTAAACCACATAAACACATTTCATTACACCAAATACACAAAATAATGTTCTTTTTAGCAGCATCATATGACCCCTTTAATAAATATTATTTTGTTAATAGAACAAAGTGTTAATATTTCCAAAATATTATTATTACAACAATTTCTTATGTTTTTTTTAAAATTAATAATGGTAATGTTTTTATTAAAATTATTGTTAATATTGTTTTAATCAGATAAGAATGCTAATAGAAGAGAGATCAATATTTTATTGAATTGTTGATGCTGTTAATAATGATAAAGTATTATTATATTACTGTTACTATATGACTTATTGATTTCAATTTATTTCAAGTTGTTAATAACTATAATGAAATACTTGTTGCTGTTATTAACAAAAGAAATTGAACAACAATATTTTCAACAATAATAATAATAATAATAAGTGTTGTTGTGTAGCTATTGTTATGCAAATTAAGTTTTTCAATAAATAAAAATGGGTTCTTCATATCGGTTATCGGCCACTTAGGCATAAGAATAATCTGTATTGTATGGGTCATGTGAGAAAGATCTGTCTGCCATTGTGTTGCAGCTGAATGGGATGATTCAGAGTCCCGCTGAAGGACAGTTCTGGACCACATTAACCCCGTGTACAGAGGAGGGGGACAGTGTTCCCTCGTGAACCTCCAAACCCTTTGTACTGTCTGCCATCGTATGGTACATTATCTCATCCACACACATCGTATTCAGAATTTATTTGAGATTTTTAAAATGATATTTAATTGATCTATTTAAAACATATACATATGTAAAAATATAAACGTGCATAATATTATTTATAAAATATTTAAGTATTTATATAAATATTTAAAACAATAATAATTACTATTTAGTTTTATGTTTATTATTAGTGATTCCATCAGCACATCTGTGGCGGGTTTGTTTAGCAGAGGACCACACAGCAAGCCAAAGACAGAAGTCAGATGAAACGAGACCAAGCTGCCTCCAAACTGGCCTCTGACATCACACGATTCTTTGTCAAGAAATGAGCCATTCTGTCTGCAACTATTAAAAACACATATTCAGAGCAGCAAAGAGCTGTTGCCTTGGAAATGACCCGTCTGCGTTTTCCATGTCAGAGGCGTTATTTACCAACATCTGCAGTATTTGAGGATTTTAGCCAATTGGGTAGCTGTATTTGAGTTATTTTGCCAATTGGGTAGCTGTTTTTAATCACTGCTCTCAGCATGAGACAAAAGAGCTTTTATATTCGATGTGTTCAACCATAAATTCAATAAAATCACTAAATAAACATGCTACAGTCACATTTAGTCGTTTTGTTCTACATTTAAACAAAACCAGAGAACTGAAATTCGGAGTAAATGAGTCGATGTTCGTTTGGAGCGTGTAAAACTAACTCTTTTTGGACCGTGAACTATTTGTGTTGTAGGTTTGCAGCGCGGCTCTTCAGACTGCCGCAGGACGTGCTGGCGTGAGATGTTTCCCAGTGTCTGCTAGGTTTTTTTTGGGTCAGTGCAGAGATAGGAGGCTGTGTGGAGCAGCAGTCAGGCAGGACAGGATGTTCTGAGGGCCGGATGACTTTCATGAGTGTCTATACAACGTGATAAAGCTTAATGGTTTATATAATCATATATTCTAATTTACAGATATCCAGTTACAGATACATATAGTGAAATTACAACTATATATTAAATGTATATACTTTAAGTACACATACAAGGTAAAATATATATTTTATATAGCATAAAAATGTATTTTGTATATCATTTTGAATGAAGTACAGATTTAAACAAATATATATTTTAGATTTCAAATATAGAAGACTTTACATATTAAGATATAAGTACCGATACAAGCTGTATAAGTACCTATACAAGTAAATACTGTATATAGGATTATTTTTGTTACCAATAATATATAACTATTATAATCAGATATTATATACATAATAAATAAATATCATTTACAATATTATATTATATATATAAGCCGTTACAACTATAATTCAGAATTTACATAATTCATAAAGAGAATTTACATTTTATATATTCCAATTTACAACTATATATTCCAAATGTTTAGCTATAAATTTTGAGATACACATTCCAAAGTGCAGATACATGTTTAATGTGTCAGATACATAATGCCTTAGCAGGTAAAGATTTACCTGTGTAATGTTTGATAAATAAAAAATACATTTTTATATTAAAAACATTTTACCTTTTTTTGATTATTTGGCCCAACGCCTTATAAACATTAAAGCTGCACTGTCTGTTCACAGTGATGCTGCCAAACAAATTAGCCGCTTAAAACCCGTCTCCCAAACACTCCTCCGCCGTCAGCGTCGTTAGCCTCTGACCAAATCACTCACGCACTAATGAGAGAACGAAGGGAACGAAATGTTCGTTTACCATAGATTTGGGTTCAAAATCAATCCCATTTTGAAAAGTAGAGCATTTTGGGAGCATGTGTATGTTTTTATGGAAAACTTCCAAACGTAAGAGACAAATCAAGGAAACATGGTCATTAGTGTGATATTCTGTGGGAAGAGTTGAACTTTGGCTTGTTACTTCAAGCATTATGTTCGTGTAGATGTAACATTTATTTTAAGACAAGTGCAAATTGCATTGGTTGGGTTATGAAAGTATCTGTTTGTATAATCATGATGTTCTGCGACTCGTTCGGCACCTCGGAGTCTAATTTCGTTCAGGTGTGAGATACGCTCGAGTGTACGAGTTAATGAGGCACAACCAAAAACACTTTTTCTGTCTGCCACAGTTAATATAGACACAGCTGTGTGCGTTTATCCTCTTACATCTCTGTTTTATGAGTGGCCAAGCAGTCCTGAATAGACTGAATTCAGAATAACAAGGACACACAAACATGAGCGGCCAATCACGAGTGATTCCCTGGGTTTCCGGTCCTTTGAATCCCTGTTTTTGATCTTTCTCCGTTTTGTTCGCTCTTTTTTCGCTCTTTTTTCCAGCTTCAGAGAAAACGTAGCCTCTGACGTCTGAAACCTAATCAAACCCACGGGCATGAATTTACACATCACTGATGATGAGGGTGGAAACGCATCTCTGGCATAGAACAAAATGGATCATAATGCCAACAATAAGTATGTTTGATCTCCATTCTTATTTGTCATGGTATAAGACATACAGCAAACCATAATATCCAGCAGGATAGCATGCAGTAATTCAGTGCAGCAACAAAAAACAAAAACAAAAACAAAAAAACTTCTTGACAAACCACTTGCAATCCAGTTTAACCAGCTAAATACACTAAAAAGGCCAAAACACCTTATTTTAAGTTTTTTTTTTCAAAAATATTTTTTCCATTTAACCCAAAAAAAGTCATTAAAAAAAAGTTCCATACAATATAATTTATGTATTTTAATAATGTAATGATTTATATACATTTATAATAATCCCTTTTTTAATTAAAAACAAACATTTAAAAAAAAAAAAAAATTATTATATGTACATATATTCAACATATTGTATATATGAATATTATGAAAAATAAAATAAATATTCATTGTAAAAATCCCCCACAAATCAGTTACATATACTAATACATTTTTTTTACATTTTAAAATTTGAAATATATATCATATTTTATATCATATAAATGTAAGTATATACTTTAAATGTATATAAATTACTACATTAAAATATATATCTACATAGTAATCTCCCCCACAAATCTCTTTAGTCACAAAAAAAAAAAAACTATTGTGTATATATACACTAATTAAAAAATAAAAATTCTGCCAGGACATTATCCATTAAAAAAGACATTTCCGTTAACCCTAAAACACAACGCAATGCAGCGCAAAATTCAAAATACAGGTAAAATACCAGAAAATTCCCTTAATTAATACAGTACATTGTGCTTTATTTTTACAGTTTTTTTTTTTTTTTTAGCATACATTACATTTTTATATAAATATTTTTCATTTATTTTTTTTATTACATATTGGAAAGAAAAGTACTACATCTCTGACTATTATTTCATTTATCAGGCTTTACGCTGTACATGTTGCCTTAAAATCCTTTCAATTATTGGCACCCCTAGAAATTCTTATGAGTAAAATATCTCTACAGTACATTGTGCTTTATTTTTACAGTTTTTTTTTTTTTTTAGCATTTACATTACATTTTTATATAAATATTTTTCATTTATTTTTTTTATTACATATTGGAAAGAAAAGTACTACATCTCTGACTATTATTTCATTTATCAGGCTTTACGCTGTACATGTTGCCTTAAAATCCTTTTCTGATCTTGTTTTCTCACCATTGAAGACAGTCATCAAAAGTAGCATTTTAGAGGATGTGGCTCTTTCAAGTATTGCAAAACAAGTCGTACACAAGTACAACCATGAAGGACAGGACCGAGCTGACTTTGAAAGAGTGCTTGGGTCACTGAAAAGGGTTGACATGTCTGATGTCTCACTGTAATAAGGTGCTGCTGTCAATACGCTACGTCCCCTAGTGAGTAATGGTCATTACTTCTCTGCCTGTCAAAGAAATCAAAGTTCACACCTGCGGACGCGGACCTACGTGACCACCGGCACGCCTGCGTGACTTTATTACCGACGAGAACAAAAGACCAGCAGCAACACAACAACTTTAATAACGCTGAGACTGAGAGATATTGAGTGGACATCAAATGAAGGCGCGTGTCCTGACAGCCCCAGGGGATTTCTGACGGAGGCCGGATTCAAATGACTTTGTGTTTCTTGTCGGGCGAATGGCATGAGGGAGAAAAGCAGTCTAAACAATAACACGGAAGAAGGTAATAAAGTAGGTGATGTTGGGCAGAAGTAGCGCTCCGGGGTAGGAGACCTGCTAATGTCCGTCAAAAGTCAAAGGATGTGCAAGAAGCAGCTTTTACGTCAGATGGTGGCTGATCTGAACCGTTCACATCCTTGAATGTTCTTATAGCGTTTTGTGGCACTAGGTGCAGATGCAGAATAATCATTTTTAAACTCGGAATTCTGACTTTTTTCAGAATTATCAGATTTAAACTCGGAATTCTGACTTTTTCCAGAATTATCAGATTTAAACTCGGAATTCTGACTTTTTTTCCCCGATTTATCAGATTTAAACTCGGAATTATCAGATATAAACTCAGAATTCTGACTTTTTCAGAATTATCAGATTTAAACTCGGAACTGAGAGATATAAACTCAGAATTCTGACTTTTTCAGAATTATCAGATTTAAACTCTGAATTGAGAGATATAAACTCAGAATTCTGACTTTTTTCAGAATTATCAGATTTAAACTCGGAATTGAGAGATATAAACTCAGAATTCTGACTTTTTTCAGAATTATCAGATTTAAACTCTGAATTGAGAGATATAAACTCAGAATTCTGACTTTTTTCAGAATTATCAGATTTAAACTGAACTGAGCGATATAAACTCAGAATTCTGACTATTTTTCAGAATGATCAGATTTAAACTGAATTGAGAGATATAAACTCAGAATTCTGACTTTTTTCTGAATTATCAGATATAAACTGAATTGAGAGATATAAACTCAGAATTCTGACTTTTTCAGAATTATCAGATTTAAACTCTGAATTGAGAGATATAAACTCAGAATTCTGACTTTTTTCAGAATTATCAGATTTAAACTGAATTGAGAGATATAAACTCAGAATTCTGACTTTTTTCAGAATTATCAGATTTAAACTGAATTGAGAGATATAAACTCAGAATTCTGACTTTTTTCAGAATTGTGAGATATATTCATAATTGCTAGATATAAACTCAGAATGGCAAGGAATAAAAGTCAGAATTCTGAGTTTATATCTTGCAATTCTGAAAAAAAAGTCAGAATTCTGAGTTTATATCTCAAAATTCTGAGCTTGCATTTCAATTATGGGAACAAAAAGTCAGAATTGCGAGATATATTTACGTTTTGTATTCCATAGTTTCCTGTGTCAGCCACGTCCAGTTAGTTTTGCTGTACAAAAACAGTCGATTATGCTGGTATGTGTTATCATATTTTACATTTATTATCATAAACATACTGGTTTTTAGTGCAAATAGCTTTGCAGTTTACTTCACTTTATTTCTTGTAGTCATTTACCTATAGCAGCTAAAGGATCAAAAGTCTCGCACACAAGTTAAAAGCTTACTTCTGTGTTGAAAAATAAGGTGGCTAGTAACATAGAAACTGTTATGAAAGACTGATATGTAAAGATGATGTGTGGTGATCTGAAGGATGGTGTCTGTTTCTAAGGGAACGCTGAGCATCTTGGCAGAGTCTCAAACTTTTCTCTGTGCATCAAGAATTCTCCAGTCAGTTATTAACTTCTATTTCTAGCTATTATCTGGAAGTGTAGCACTGAAATGAATGACAAGATTAAATGGAACTGGAATAGAGATGCCATGCTAACTGCTATTAGGAATGCAATGCGATGGTCAACTAGTCTTTCAACAAGTTGATTAGTGAGGTCAGCTAATGACAGTGGAGATGCTGGCAATGAATTTTGAGGACTACATTTTGCTGTTTTTTCAGCGTCTCGCGCAATGAGTATTGCATTTTTGTTAAACTGGTATTGAACACCAGAATGTCATTTAAAAAATATGTGAGATTGGTAGGCATGAACCAAATGCGTAATTTAAATATATATTAAAATCATATTTAATTTAATTTATCTAAATATATATTAAAATAATCTATACAAAAATCTATATAGCTCATTAAAATATAAATATTATCGTTATATATTGGCATTTATATTCTGCTATATTAACTGATCCAGGAACAGCACGACAGGAGAATATTCCCCTCCATCCAATTAATTACAGTAATCACTGCAGAGAGCGTCCCTACAGGCGCAAAACAAGCGATCGAGGAAAGGGCCAGGCATTAAAAAGAATGGACATTGGGCTTTGGGAAGACAGGAATGGCAGGTGTGCAGCCTCTGGTGTTTGGGATGAAGGTTTTTTTTTTGGGGGGGGGGGAGACTTGTATGTAATTTGTTCTTCCAATACCTCGTTCCCTGCGTAAACCATTAATCTTCCTTAAACTCCCGTGCAGAGGAGACCTCATTAGTTAACCAAAAAACAGGCGAAATTTGCTGCGCTAAGCACATTATCTCTCACACGCACACACAAACATGGAAATTTGGAGGCCAGTTCTCCCTAAATGAGTTTCTAATGACATCCAGCACACGGTTGGTGAAGCATCAAGTTTTGCGGGCACCAGCGGCCGCCCCGAGGAATAAAAAAAGACTGCAATGTGTTCAAAAACTGCCTAATGGGTGTCATTCGCTAATGTGATAATATTTACAACAGGATGACCACTGTTTCCTTACAACACTGGTGGTGGTCTGTGTTTATTTTACACACTCAGATGTTTGTCGCGCAATTTTTTCTAGATAATGACCAAAAAACGCAATCAGTCCTATCAGTGGGGATTAGACAAAAATAAGGCCGTTTATGATTCACGCTACCTGCGGATGCTTAATGGATAAGGCTCCGGCTGTTTCTCTTTACGCACTGGATTATAAATTCACACTTCAATTACATCTCGCCACAGACTGTATTGGGGCGGAAAGAACGTTTTTGACAGCTCCGAAGCCCCATGACAGTGCTGAGAAGGTGTCTGTGAGTGTGAAAGAGAATATCATTTTCTATTGATTTATGAAACTGCCACAATAAACAGCTATTTACTACCAAATGGCCAGTTGAATGCAGATGGCAGTGTTGGAGGGATAATGGCGTAAAAGTGGTTTTAAGGCGAGTATCACCATTAATACTGCTCACAATTAGGGTAGGGATCAGACCGAACTTCTAACCCAAAGTTTTCCCGCACTTTTTGTGCTACAGACATGAATGAGGCCTCAAACTCTGTTGTTTGTTGAGAAGAGATGTGCTATGCTTGGGTGAACTTGTGATTTTCACCAGGCAGATGATGAATCAGTTGGAAAAATCCCACCCCGTTTACACCAAGAACGATAACTAAATTAGCGCCTGCACCAACCGGCGAGAATGTTGTTTATTATAAGTGCGCGCTGTTGTTTTGTCGTCTGACGCTTTGCACAAGCTATTGTTTTTATCCATCATATAGAGAAAAAAAAACAGTTTTGATTATGATTTCACCAATATCGTTCCTCTGTTTCGTTAATGCTAAAGTCATGGAGTGAACGAATATTCTTATAATATTAGAACTATTATTAAAACTTTATAGTTATTCTTATATTTAAGGATTGAACCGGCCTTCACACTGAATGACGGACAGGAGCCATATCTGGAGACTAGAATATGATAGGGGCGTTTAAACGACACCGTTTTTAAACTAAAAGGAAAACGTTTTACGCGTTTCGGCCATTTATTTACATGACAACTGCATTTTGGGTGCCTGAAAACTGTTGAACAGGTTTCAAAGTCGAGTTTTTGAAAACTATACCGTTGTCTGTGTAAACTACAAAAACGTGAATTTGTGAAAATGGTGACGTCATGCGCACGCGTATTACGCGTTCAGTCTTTAGGTATGCGTGCAGGTGCGTAGTGTTTCTTTACAAAGTGGCATGCATAATATAGTCATTTTTGCAGATCCGTGTGAACGGGGATTGTTTTGACAACGTTGTCAACCACACGAAACTTCTCTATTTTTAGTATGTCATTGTCTTGTAAACGTACATAGAGACTTGAGGATGGACTCTTTTGGCTGAGAAGTAACCACTCAGAATAACAATAGCAAGCAAAAAAAATTAAATTAAAAAAAATCATTCTTAATAGATATTCATCTTATATATCAGTTGAAATATTTTATCTGATTTTCTCATTCTATTTGTCTGTTTAGACACACACAGTATAGACGCGGTATTAATATCTTAGAAAATGTTGCTTCTCTAGTAAATGTACCAGGTTTTAAGGACTTCCAGATATTTTAATTAGAAAACATGTAAAAAAATAAAATAAAAAAAAAAGTTAACTTAATTTTGCAGTGGACCACATAGCAACACGCTGGAAACCATCCACAACACTAAAGCACCCTCATATAAAACATGCAAATCTAGAACATTTTACATACAGCGGCTTACCCTTTTAAGATGGCCACCATTTTGAGACCACATGATCAGCCACATCTCACAATTTGAGTTGATAAAAACAAACTATAGATGAACATACCTCATTTTCTAGAGCACATTAACGGTGCACACTTGTCAATCTTAAGTCATATCCTCATTGGTGATCCAGAACTGTAGGGGGCAGCAGAGAGGTTAATGCTGTAACGATTATTAGTGTAGTGAAATTGTCAAATCAAATATTTGACATATTATAAATAAAAAAAAATCATTAATTTTATGTTATCAGTGGCGGCTCGTGGGTTTTAAAATAGAGGAGGCACACTAATTGTATTGGTCTGGGATCCCTGCCGATTATTAATATTATTATTTGCTTAACCACTTTAAAATGGCTTTTTGGTTGCTTTTAGTCAGAAAACGTAAAGAACACCATACAGCAAGATAATATAATTTCACTTACTTGGCCCATCACTCGAAGCAAACATCCATCCCTTCTTAAAAGTCTGTGTTAAAAGAGAGCTGCCTGTTGCGCCATTTAATTAAGCCGACTGCTGTAGCCTATATCCAGCTTAGGCTGTTTTCCCTTTTTTTTAAATTTGTATATATACTGTTTGAATGACAGCTTGGTAAATCTGTTGGCGATCAAATATTCAATATCGCTACTCATCATAAGTACTTGGTACATTATCAGCGCAGCGGCAGACGTTCAAACTAATATCACGTAATTTACGTCTCTAT